GAAGATTCCTCGCTGACCAGGATAAGGCTGCGTGCCTCTCGTTCAAGGGGATCGGAGGATCGCCCATTTTTGATGTTGACGGAGGGGTTGCTTGTTCGCTGGGATGTGGAAGCACAAAAATTTTGTATTGTTGTCCCGAGGGTGTTGCGGGGGAAACTGATTAACGAGATACATGAGAAATTGATGCATTTGGGGGAGAAGAAGACCGCGTTGACAGTGGGGATTAATTTTACTGGCCGGGAATGTTTAACGATGTGAAACAGCATGTAAAAGCGTGCCAGGAATGTGCACGGAGGAAAGCGCCGGCACGGCCATAACGTGTCCCATTGCAATCGATTCAAGTTTCGAGAGTGAACGAAATTGTGGCTAGATATTTTGGGTCCGTTCCCCGTCACTCCCCGAGGGCACAAATATTTGCTCGTCGGGGTGGAATACTTAACTCGGTGGCCGATGGCATGGCCGCTAGCAGACCAGTCAGCGACGTCGATCGCTGAGGCTTTCTTGAAAGGATACGTATTAGATAAGGGGGCCCCGGAACAATTGCTTACTGACCAAGGCAGAAATTTTTCATCGAAATTTATTAAAGACGTGTGTGACTCGTTGGGGACCAAAAAGATCCGGACATCCCCATACCACCTGCAGACTGACGGGATGGTCGAGCGGCTGCATAGGACGCTGACGTCCATGCTTTGTCACCAAGTAAACACCGCTCAAGATGATTGGGACCTGCATGTTGCAGTAACGCTGGCCACGTATAGATTGGCCCCGCATGCCTCAACGGGGTACTCGCCATTTTTTCTAATGTATGGACGGGAACCAGAAGCGCCGGCTATTGTTAAATTGGGGATTCGAAAACGGGAGAAATCTACGATGGTGCCTGCTCCGATGCAGGTGGCTTTAGACCGTCTGAGGGAAGCCCGGGAGGCTGCATTGAAAAATACGGCACGACGACAAGCCGCTAACGAAAGATTGTACGGCAGGCAGCGGCCACGAGAGCCGTGGAGTGTTGGAGATGAAGCCTGGTTGCACTGCCCCATGGTACCGGTGGGAACGTCCCCGAAGTTTCACCGCCCCTGGCAGGGGCCTGTTGATATTGTGGAGGTTTTACGGGATCAGATTGTGCGAATAAAATTCGGTCGTCGGACATGGTTTGTTCACCCGTCGCGCCTGAAGAAATTTGTGTTACCATATGACGTGTCATCCCCCATCCGAGAGCGGCCCGTATTGGATGTGTCCGACGAACCTGTGGGGAGGTCACAAGTGCACGTGTCCCAGAGATCTGCCCCCCGTGTGCCTGCAGGATCGCCCCTTTTGGGCAGGGTTGCTGACCGGACGCTGATTGAACGGCCACAGATCCGGATCAATGGCCGTCCCGACCGTGAACGACGGACAGCCCTGCCAGCAGAGTGTCGCTGGGACAGGGATGGGCGCAGGGTGGAGCCCAGGAGCACCCCTCGTTGGCAGGACGAGCGAGGCCCTCCCTTACCATAGGGTGTCCCGTGCAGGGGAGATGGGCTGGCAGCGGGAACCCGTTCCAGGAGAAATACAATACCTTGACTTTGGGGGGGTTTGGGAATTCTGTATAAAGGTGTTGTGTGCGTGTCGTTGTGTGGTGCGTGTCGGGTGGTTGTACAAAACGGTTATGTGTTGCGAATGCATTCTGTATATATGTTATCATCGTTCCGTCCGCTTCACTCCACTACTCCAATTCGAGTATATCGTAGCCGGGGACGGCTAGGTTCTTTCATCACGGGGGGGGGGGGGGGGGGGGCGGGGTGATGTAGTGGAGTAAAAGATAAGCATGGGTAATTTGGCCATATACAGTACATACAGACATACAAGCAGTGTGGGTCACATAAGGTCGAGCAGGTGGTGGAGTCATGGGTGGCGTAAACAAACCGAAGTAATTAAGGGAGTCATGGCACGAGGGCTGTGATTGGTCGAGAGGCTGTTAGCGTTAAGTGGCGGCGTCACGAAGTCTGGACCGTTGGACAGGTGCGAGCTGGCGGAAAAATGCCAGCGAGACATGTGGCAATTAATTAAGGCTGATTGGAATGGGGATAAAACGCTAGGTGATTTGGACGGGGGTTGAATTGTTGTTGGGGAGTTGTTGGCGAGAGGTGGAGAGAGCAGCGAGAGATGCGAAGAGGAGAGCCGGCGAATGTTAGGGAAGAATAGATTGAGAGCCGAACCCAAAGGACAGTAAATAGTGATAGGGAGAGTTAGCGTTAGCAGAGGGGTAGTTACGGGAGAGATAGGTACAGGGAGAGTTATAGATAGACAAGTCACTGTGTGTGAAGAGGTAGACGAGTCACTGTGTGTGAATAGATAGACAAGTCACTGTGTGTGCGGAGATAGATAAAGTCACTGCATGTGAAGAGATAGACGAGTCACTGTGTGTGAGGAGATAGAGAGAGAACCACTGTGTGTGGGAAGACAAGGAGTATGAGCGGACGGTGCTGAGGGGAATTCGAGTGTTCGTGTTGGCGGAGCGCGGAGAGGAGAAATTATAGTGTGTGCGGAACGACGGAAATAAAAGTGACGGTGGAAGAAAGGCGGTTGTCGTCCGAGTAAATTCACGGCACTACATTATAGATGCCATTAGGGACTCCACCAAAAGACGCTCTTAGGAACATTCCGACAAGGCAGCACGAGGCGTGGGACCGGCGGAACGCTTTTGTTGCAGGTAAAGGTCACAGATCTGCATGTAAGAGGGACGAAAATAACTCAACACCTGAATGGACAGGGCAGGCACGGGGGCGGAAGCATCTGAATGCCTATTGTTCCAGGAAAGGTCGCAGATCTGCATACGAAAGAGCACGGGTGAGCACGCTCCTGAACAACGGAATGCCGCTAGGGTGGATAAAAAGGCAGAGGGTGGGGGTAGCAAGAGAGTCTTCTTCAAAATCTTCGCGGTCTACGGAGCAACAGAGTTAGCCGTTCGGGACGTCCGTGTGACGAACTCCAACGCAGCCAGGCTCCACTCTCGACGGGGCCGACCTACCATCTCCTCCTCCACAACGTTCAGCGCAGCCGAGGGGAAGTAAGCGTGTGAGAGAGAAGTGAATCCGGAGTGAGTTAATCGAGAGTAGAGAGCGGAGCGATAGGCAGAGTAGGTTCAGCCTAGAATTCCCGGGAGAGTAGGCTGGTAGCCACTGACGCATACACTTACGCGTAGTTTAAACGGGTTGCTCACGGTAAATAAAATCACTGGTAAGGGGGATAAAACTGTGTCGCGTGGTCTCTGGGAGTGGGCAGAGGAGGGTAGAGAGTGTTTTTGTGTTCACGCGCATACGCGGCTGTTTGTGGCGGATAAGGGAGTAGCGCTTTGCGCTCGCGTGCGCGGTTGTTTACAACGAGGCGGAGCGCTTAGCGTGCGTGTGCCTATGCGGCTGTGTACGGTGGTGGTTAGTGCTCGCGTAACCATGCGACTGTTCACGATGGTGCTTAGCGTGCTGGGTGTTCGCGTGCAGATGTGGTTGTTTTCCACGAAGCGGAGTGTTCAGTGTGCGCGTGCCTACGCGACTGGTTTCGGTGGCGGTTAGCGCTCGTGGACCTGTATGATTGTTTACAGTAGCGCTTAGCGCTCGCGCGCCTGTGTGACAGTGTTGCGGCCGCTTGCCTGTGCGGTTGTCTCTAGCGAAGTAGCGAACTAAGCGCCTGGCGTGCGCATATTCGCGCGGCTGTGTAAACGGCCCCTTTAAACCGGCGCGAAGTGATCGCGGCGTGTTTGTTTTTGCTTGCGCACGTGGAGCGTGGGTGGGAGGGAATCCCGCGTCGGCGTGCCGCGCCTGTTTATTCACGTGCAGGGCGGGGTTTTACTTTGCGAGCGCGCTCACCAAGGCACGCCGCCGTTGAACAGCGTAGCGCATCGTAAGCGTAGAGCAGGCGGCCGCCTCGATTGGACCATGCTGACGCGGTCAACAGCACGGGAGGGCGAGGAAGTGGGGGCCGGTAGCCCGGACCCCACAGAACAGCCGGGGGGTAGTGGGACAAATGTAACGGGGGAGTCGGTGGGCAACGGCCCTGACAAATCGGTGAGGGCGGGAGACGTTCGCCCCCACAGCTGTCTCTGTGAGTACGGAGGGGGGGGGGTGCCTGGTGTTGTGAGCCCGTGAGTTGTGGTGTCCTGTGTATTCTGCCCGCGTGGGTTAGTACAGCTATTTAAATCATGCCACGAGGAACAGTAGCGAGGGGGGGAGAAGAGGAGAGCAGGGGGGCAGAGGAGAACGGGGAGATGGGGGGCAACCACCCCGATACGCTGCGCTACGAACCCGGCGACCAGAGTTCGATTCCTGCTCACGGCCACCACCGGTGACGATTATTTGAACCAGTCCTGGGCCTCCACTAGGTCGACTCAGCCTCAAACGAGTAACTGGTGTGGTGTGTCAACATCATCACTGGGGAGACAAAGGCGGTCGGGAGTGGTGCTGGCCACCCACCCCCTCATGTACCGTTCCGGCCTTCATAGGTGCTCGCTAACAGCACTTGCCCCTACAGTCTGTTAAAGCTATATGGGGGATATTTGTCTTTGGAGCGGTAGTGCAGCTGTTAGCGCGCTGCGCTACGAACCCGCCGACCCGAGTTCGATTCCCGCCTACGGCCACCACCAGTGACGATTATTTGAACCGGTCCTGGGCCTCCCCTAGGTCGACTCAGCCTCAAACGAGTAACTGGTGAGGTGTATGAACATCGCCACTGGGGAGACAAAAGCGGCCGGGCGTCGTGATTTGATTAACTTTATTTTTACCAACAACCACACGAGTTATACCTACGTATAAATCGTGTGGTGTGTGAACATCTTCACTGGGGGGACAAAACCGAAGCCGGGTAGTCAAGCTAGTACCTAATAAATGAAACTGAAATGGAAAAAAAAATGAAACTCAAAAAACTCCCATCACTCCCATCGGAGTGCGACTGGCCAATCACGGGTCTCGCGACTGGCCAATCACGGGTCTCGCGACTGGCCAATCACGGGTCTCACGCACGCCCGCCCGCCCGCCCGCCCGCTTCACCTCGTGACCCGGATGCGTCGCGGCCCGCGTCGCCAACGCCGCCGCCGCACCCATCGGTGTAGGCGCGAGCGCGGAGCGCCGCCACTCCACAACCTTTTCCTCCACCGCGTCCCTCTCTGGTGGTGCTGTCACCTTTGTGGCGCGCCGATGGCGAACAGCCGCGCGCCAGTGGCCCCGAGGCGGAGAGTGTCCTGCGAAACCCGCCCCACACCCCGCCTTGCCTAGACGCTCTGCCCGGGAGCCTGCGCCACGAACGCCGCCGCCTCGTCCAAGCCTCACCGCGCCCTCCCGGTGCGTGCTGCCTCCCTCCTCTTGAGTTCACACGGCGGCTCTCGGCGCCTCTCCGTGAAAAAACGCAAGCCGCGATGCGTAGTCCCGGTGCTGTCGGCACAAGGCGCAGGGTTCTCTGACGAGTTCGACTTACAAGCAGCGCGCCATGGCACCGGAGTGACATCTGTGCCTTGGCAATGCATAGGAGTGATGCGTGACAGTAGCCACTGCAGCGTCGTCATAGTTATGACTATTAATAATACATTAGGATTAATAATCAACATTCGTATCATGACGCGCTTGACTGGCACCTGCAACGATGTTTGCGAGCTTGCGTGAGACGGCTTGGATACAGAGCGCAACGGGTAGCTCACACGGGGTTTACATTGAAATTCATGAGCCATTGAAACCTTTATTCTCTTCAAGGCTTTTGTATCTAGTGTGTAGTATTTCATTTTACAATGTCTGTTAATGTCCCACGTGTTATTTTACTGAACATATTTTTGGTTCGCCGCACTACGTTGCTTTGTTAAAATGAATGCCTTCTAAAGAAGGGCCCTCGATTCGAAACGTCAGATCTAGATTTAATATAACAAGGCAACGTTCGAAACGAAAGGCATTAATTGTGCTAATTATTTCTATGAGTAGGCCCTGCTCTACTTGTTCATTAGAATAGTTTCAGAGTGTATTGTGGTAAAGTGTGGTTAGGCTGCAGCTTTAAGAATCCCCGCGGCTACGCGCTAACCACAGCGACGTGAGTGGGGAACGTCGTCTCCCTCTCTCACCGTTTCGTCATCTTTCTGTATCGCCGTCTCCCTGTCTCCCCGTCTCATCGTATCACAGTTTTTCTGTCTCACCGTCTCCCTGTCACGCCGTCTCCCTGTCTCACCGACTTTCCCTCTCACTGTCTCCCCGTCTCGCCATCTCTCTCACCGTCTCGCCATCTCTCTCACCGTCTCGCCATCTCTCTCACCGTCTCGCCATCTCTCTCACCGTCTAACCGTCTCCCTGTCTCACTGCTGCTGCTCTTAGTTGTGCTCTCTGCATTCGAGCGTGGGACATTGTTCTACTCCCCGTTGGTGTAAATTCCACGTTCCTGTGGCCGGCGTATGTGACATCCCACAAAGTAGTAATTAGTAGGTTATACTTGAAGGGGAATAACCAGTGGCTGTACTAAAGAATCAGAATCTTTATTTAGGCTGGGGGAATCCGATAAGCTATGAAGCTGTTTTTCACAGATTGATCCCGGCCGCATGAATGTTTAATTTGCACCACTCACCAAAGAATGAAGAAATGACTGCTATGCACAACTGCTGTGAACACGAGGACGCGATTTGTGGAAGAGTTGGAGAGTTATCTTATAAGTGTATCCTGCTTTTCACCTCCAGGCAAAATTAAGGGGCCACAAATGAGCTCATAAATTGGCCTAACTTATCAAGCAGCACATTATCCCTGATACAGAGAGTTGTTTTGTTTGTTAACACACGGGGTACGTACCATGCACACACTTGGAAGTCGTGTTTCTTATCAAACAATACAGAAATCACGCGAAGTTTTGCCAGGAAGTTACGTGCTTTGTTCAGCTCAGGAGTTGAGTCGTCGAGGAGGAGTTGGATTGGACCTTAGTTGTGCTAAACTTATCGAATGGCTGTTGGCACATCCTCATCTTTGTGATGAAGTGTGAGGTGTATGGTTGTGTTTTTATTGCGCTGAATTGTATCGCTTTTAGGTTACTTTACTGAATATAACATAATATTGACACTGCATACAGTCTTGGGACGTGCTATTTTGACGCAAAGTCCAACATTGCCCTGTTAGCTCATTGACCGATTTCTCCTTAAACTCTTTTTTATTACTATTTTAATTTTACCAGGTAAGGCCCACTGAGCTATGAAACGACCTGGCCGCAAATGATAGCCGAATGAAGTGGCTTATGTGGAAATTTATAGCAGCCAAATACTCTAAACCCATGTTTCTAAATGTGGAGGGAATGACGTGAGAGCTGAAAATTGTCGCATTCCCTTAGAAATTCCAGACAGCATAAGCTGTGCAAATTTCATGACGTCAGAGCTCAGCGTTCAAGAATTTTGCTGCTTCACACAAACAGCTGTATTTTCTGCTTTATATTTAAGAACGAGTTGAAAATAGTCGCGTTGACTTAGAAAATCGAGACAGCTATGCCGCGCATTTGTGCGGGAAGGTTCGGGGGGGGATGTCAGCAGGCACACTGCGTAACGCTGCCGCATGCGGGTGACATTACAGATGTGATGTCACTGCTCACTTGCCGTGCAAAATATATCCATTATTGCGCCCACCCTCCCCCCCCCCAAATACAAAAGTCTATTTTTATACTTTTTGCATTGTGTACAGTTTGGAAGCTCCCCACAAGCCAGATTTCAAGTTTGTTGCATGTTGGGAAGTATACTAAACATTTCGAACAGACACATTCACAAATTTCCCTTTTTTATATATATAGACTCGCTTTACTAACCGGCTTCGCCTGGGACTTGGATTCACCATGCCCGGCCGCCTTTGTCTCCCCAGTGGCGATGTTCACACCACACCAGTTACTCGTTTGAGGCTGAGTCGACCTAGGGGAGGCCCAGGACCAGTTAAAATAATCGTCACCGGTGGTGGCCGTGAGCGGGAATCGAACTCGGGTCGCTGGGTTTGTAGCGCAGCGCGCTAACCACTACACTACAATGTGTTACGCTTCCACATGCGCGGGTCACGTGACAGATTGGACGTCGCACCTCACTTGCCGTGCAAAAAAATCTATGCATTATCGAGCTCCCGCCCCCCCCCCCAAAAAAAAAAGTGTATTTTTATAATTTTTGCATGGTGTACAGTCTGGAAAGTACCCACATGGCAAATTTCAAGTTTGTTGCATGTCGAGAAGTACGCTAAACATTTTTAACAGACACACAATCACAACTTTGCCTTTTATATATATGGAGATGTCAGACTGTCTTCCTCTAAACCCAATACACAGTGCAACTAAAACAATATATATAGTTATAACCTACATATTGTAATATGGTATATAAACATCCTTAGCTATTTCAGTAAACGTGAGTTGGGAGAAAGGAGGGGGGGGGATCCACAGTAGGATCTTGCATCCCCCCCCTCTGTTGAAATCTAAAGCTGTGCCCCTGCTTAAGACACACACGCACGAGTTGCTCACCTCACGTTAATGTCTCCGTTAGCAACATTGTGCGTATGTTGACAAGAGTTTGATGGAAAAATAGATAACGTATTTACGTCCCAGTAGGGTGGGTCTGCCATAGAACATTTTAACTCCTCTTCTTTGGTTCTTTCGGTGAAGTCACGTAGAATGAGAATAAAATAATAAATTGATAAAATAAAAGAACACAATAATATTCTCACGACGTTTCGGCCACAACACAAGCGGCCTTCATCAGGTGAAGGGACGAGACTGTCTGGGAGGACAGCGCTGGAGTGAAAAAGCCACGTTCAGATCACGACCTTTAAGCTGTGTGAGAGGAAACAAAGCGCCTTGACAAAGGAATTAGCATATAATTTAGCATTGAAATGGCTGAGTGATTAGCTTGTGACTGGTCACAGAAATGGCTATGTTAAAAGTTAAAGCATACACATCCGCAGAGGCACCCCTCTGCGGATGTGTATGCACTGCCCTTCATAGCTGCCCACTTTCAGCTGTTGTCCCTGTGGTCTGATTGCATGTGAAATGCCTGTGCTGTATCCTCTCAATTCTAGCAGCAGCTCCTGTCGACGGCAAGAGCTAGAGTGGTACGGCCGTCTTGGGAAGTGGCTCGTCAGCTTTATTTCCCATCTCCTGGAGGAGAATCAGAATCTGGGGTTGTGGGCAAGACCGAGGTGTGTGCGAGAAAACTGCCCGGCCATGGCATCGGAGACTCAAGCCAAGTATCAGAAGCTAGCACAAGAATACGCCAAGGTGAGCATGGAAATGTGAATGATGGAGGCTTCAAAACAAACAAAATTTGGGTCTTGGAAGTCTCTGGGGCTGACCCATCCTGGTTGATATGCTTTTGTTTTAAACAGAAAAAACATTAAACATGTATATAAAGCAGTGCAGCCCCCCCTTCACCACCTGGCAGCTGTGCTGGTTTGACCTCTTTTCAGTGCCGGAAGTAAAGAGTATACCTGTCAAGCCGCATTCAAACCATGTCGCTACTCGCTGAACCTGTATTTAGGATCATCAGGGTGGTATCCACCTGCCAGCGAAATAACAAACAACTGTCTACCAAATCCACCCTTATTTTAGATCACAGCGCTGAGGGGACTGGTTTTGGAAAGTAAACATTCTCTGTTTGATTAGTCGGGGTTGAAGAAGTAATCTCTTTTCCGTAATTGCATTTTTTAGGTTATAAATCAGAGCTAGTCAGCAGAAAGTTGCAACTTATAACGAAACGATGTATAACGGGAAATTTTCCTCCATAAGAATAATAGGAAGTGGGGAGGGGGGATGGTGACCGTGAGAGCATAAATATTGCCTACTAGCGGGAAGTACCCGGCGTTGCACGGGCAAAAAAGACACACACACCCATTGACTTACACACACACACACACAGACATCGACCCACACACACACAAACACATCTAGCCACACACACAACAACAACCGCCATTCACCACTAAGTGGCGGTGACGTCACCACGACGCTTGTGCCAGGCCATGTGCACCCTGAGGCCACGTGAAGTGTCGAACGCCTGCTGGCAGGAGGTCACGGGGCAGACCCAGGTGCCACGGGTCGACTGACTGAGATGACTGGCTGATGCACCACCTGTGCCCCCTACTGTACCAACCTGCTGTGCTTTAGCCACCCGGTGCTCCGCTCGTTCTGAGCGTCGCTCCTCCGCCCTCCGTTGTTGTTGGAGGGCGACTACCTCCAACTGCCCAGTAGCGTCCTTCACGAGCCTCCTCCACAGAGGCCGATCTTGACACCGCTGGTACCAGTCATCGGCAAGTCCACTCAGCTCCACGTCCTCCTGTACCACATCACTCCATCTCTTCTCTAGCCCGTGCCGCGCCCGCTTAGCCCCCTCAATCCGGCCGAACAAAAGCTGTTTCGGCATGCGGTGGCTGGGCATGCGGGCTACATGACCCAGCCATCGCAGCCTTCCCCGCCGGAGGAGCTCACCGATGGGACCTTGCCCAGATCTTTCAAGGATTTGTGAGCTCCTCACACAATCCAGTCTGGTTAAACCCAGGATGGATCGTAGGCAGGCCAGCCTAAATGTTTCTAACTGGCGAAGATGTTCCATTAGGGGGGTCCACGTTTCGCAAGCGTAGAGAAGGGAGGGAATGACCGTGGCCGAGAAGACCTGAAGCTTAGTGCGGAGCGACAGACCAGGTAGCTTCCACACAGCGTTACGCAACTGATGAAAAGATATTGCCGCTCGACTGATTCGAAGTGAGACCTCTGCTGCTAAACTGGAGCCAGTCACATACATAGACTCACACACACACATACATAGACTCACACACACACATATATAGACTCACACACACATCGACCTACACGCACACACATATGGATTAACACACACACACATGGACTTACACACACAGACATCGACTTACACACACACATTGGAACTTTTAGAGCAGGTTGGCAGTAAATGGGTATCGTTGGCACAAAACAAAGAACGCCATCAGGGTTGTATCTTGTGGAACCAGGGCCTGTTGGTCATTTCCTTAGGTGAAGTAGATGCGTTGGCCATTTTCGAGTTGAACTGGCAAATGGACGACTGTGGGGGAACGCTCATGAATGGGGGAGCCAATAATTATCAAAATGGCCTAATTGCTGCTGATGTATCTTCCTTGGACAAAACGTTGAACCTCATCCACACTTTGCCCCTCTTTTTGCAAGGCAAAGACAGGCATGTCAGAGCCGTTGTTGATGTATTTGCAAACATTTGATGGCTTGCACAGAATTGCAGAATTCTACATTAATGTGGGGCTCGAAGATCTTGCACAGAAGAGGGCAGTAGGGAGCGATCCACTGGTTGTCAACCTTTATTTCAGAGTTAGTGGCAGGTCTGAGCCTTGTTTAAAATCCACCATGCTCAGTATTTCTGCCACGATATAGAGGATAGCCATCATGGCCTAACTGATTGTCTTTCAAGATGTTGTCTGGATACTTTTTGGTACACCTGCTGTCTTGCATACATGGCAAATTTGGATTTGAACTGCCCACATGGGCCATGGACCATTTGCTTGCAGACCACATCAAATAGGGCATGGTCTTGATGGCGGTCAGGTAGCTCAGCACTGACAAATGTATCAATGTCACTTGCGTGAATTTTTTCCGTCATCCATAGCAAAATGTGAGCATGAGGAAGAGCACATTTTTGCCACTCAATGGTATGCAAGTTACATGTTGTCTTTCGAAAGACACCGCCTTCCTTAGTCGTAATAAGCCTCATGAGTTCATCAACTGTGAGTTTGAAGAGCCTTGCAATGATGTCATGTGTGTTGCCGTTTGGTTTGGATAAAGCTCAACCTGGATCTCCTTCCATTTAGGATTGCAAGTGAAGGTGATAAAAAGATGGGGCCTGCCTTATTGCCTGATGTACGTCATGGCATCCTGAGTCTTCTCATGCATGTATCTTGGTCCACCTGTGAAGGATGAAGGCAAAATAACTAATCTGCCCACATTCTGAGCGTTCGCATGTACGTCAGCGTTGAATGTGTCCCTGAGATGAGCATGCTGTTATATATGCAGGCGTTTTTAATTAAGTTGAATGTAAACAATGCACTCACTCTCAATTTTGGCATGCTCAATGACAACATACTTAGTTGAAGAGGTTGGCGCACCGTAATATGTCGTTTCCTCCTGTCCATGATCATGAAGGAATAGAAGTCTTTAAAGGAGATGGTTTTGTGAGGATGTCTTTGTCATGTAGCTTTGATAATTTGAATAATCTGAACGTGGTACCCATCTTGGACTTGCCACAGTAACAGGTCCCTGCAGGGTGGGCTAGTAGGAACATTGGAATTTTGCACAATTTTATTTTTACACCCCAACAGTACGATATTTCACTTCGTTAAAGTATTGAAAGGGGACGGACGGACGGACACATTAATCTATTGCAGGCTGGTACACTCAGTTTACAACTTCGTTCCTACCAGTATAATTGGGTATTGTAGGGCATAATATGCTCTGCTTGTGTCAGGACATCGTTTGATGGTGTTGTTTTGGTATCCAAGCACAATGTCTCATACCGACTGGTGGTACCTACTTTCACTACAGCAGTGCATCCTGACTTCGGTTGTACCTGCTATGATTACAGCAGTGCATACTGGCTGTGGTGGTACCTGCCATGATTACAGCAGTGCATACAGTGGTGGTACCTGCTATGATTACAGCAGTGCATACTGACTGTAGTGGTACCTGCAATGATTACAGAGGTGCATACTGACTGTGGTGGTAACCTGCTATGACTATAACAGTAGTAAACTGACTGTGGTGGTACGTGCTATGATTACTGCAGTGCATACTGACTGTGATGATACCTGCTATTCCAGCAGTGCATACTGTGGTTGTACCTGCTTTCACTGCAGCAGTGTATACTGACTGTGGTGGTATGTGCTATGATTACTGAAGTGCATACTGACTGTGGTGGTACCTGCTATGATTCTAGCAGTGCATTCTGTGGTGGTACCTGCTTTCACTGCAGCAGTGCATATTGACTGGTGGTTACCTGCTATGATTCCAGCAGTGCATACTGACTGTGGTGTTAACTGCTATGATTACAGCAGTGCATAATGACTGTGGTGGTACCTGCTATGAATACAGCAGTGCATACTGACTGGTGGTACGTGCTATGATTACAGTAATGCATATTGACTGTGGTGGTACCTCCTATGAATACAGCAATATATCTAGACTGTGGTGATAACTGCTATGATCACAGCATTGCATACTGACTGTGGTAGTACGTGCTATGAATAGAGCAATGCATACTGACTGGTGGTACCTGATATGATTCCAGCAGTGCATACTGACTGTGGTGGTATGTGCTGTGATTAAAGCAGTGGATACTTACTGTGGTGGTACCTCCTATGATTACAGCAGTGCATACTGACTGGTGGTACCTGCTATGATTACAGCAGTGCATACTGTGGTGGTACCTGCTTTGACTGCAGCAGTGCATACACACTGTGGTGGTTACCTGCCATGATTACAGCAGTGCATTCTGTGGCGTTATCTGCTATGATTACAGCAGTGCATAGTGACTGAGGTGGTACCTGCTATGATAACAGCAGTGCATACTGACTGTGGTGGTACGTGCTATGATTACAGTAATGCACAATGATTGTGGTGGTACCTGCTATGATTACAGCACTATATCTAGACTGGTGGTAACTGCTATGATCACAGCAGTGCATACTGACTGTGGTAGTACGTGCTATGAATAGAACAATGCATACTGACTGTGGTGGTATCTGATATGATTACAGCAGTGCATGCTGACTGGTGGTATGTGCTGTGATTAAAGCAATGCATACTTACTGTGGTGGTACCTCCTATGATGACAGCAGTGCATACTGACTGTGGTGGTACCTGCTATGATTACAGCAGTGCATACTGTGGTGGTACCTGCTTTGACTGCAGCAGTGCAAACACACTGTGGTGGTTACCTGCCATGATTACAGCAGTGCATTTTGTGGTGTTATCTGCTATGATTACAGCAGTGCATAGTGACTGAGGTGGTACCTGCTATGATAACAGCAGTGCATACTGGCTGTGGTGGCGCCTGCCATGATTACAGCAGTGCATACTGACTGTGGTGGTACGTACTATGATTACAGTAATGCATAATTACTGTGGTGGTACCTGCCATGATTGCAGCAATAAATATAGACTGGTGATAACTGCTACGATCACAGCAGTGCATAATGACTGTGGTAGTATGTGCTATGATTAAA